GTGTGTGTGTGTATGTATATATAGTAAGTACGACTAGTGTAGTATATATATATATATATATATATATATATATGCATCCTTATGATGCAACACTTGACCTCGTGGGCCCAAGATCGCTAATTACTAGTACGATCGACCTGCTTCAGGTATACCACCCCCCTTCTGGCATCACAGGATGAATACTTGTGGCAATCAGGACGTTGTAGCTAACTTAGAAACATATGTATTTACATTAGGAGAGTCATAAATATTTTATTGTTGTACAGAGTTGTAAAAACAGGGTAAAAATGACAACCCTGCGTACAACCGAATATCCAGAGCAGCCTTAACATTTAAAAAAAACCCAAACATAATTTTGGATATACAATGCAAAAAAGTCTATAACCGGCGCGATTTACAACTTCATATGGCGCCTCGGCCAGTAAGCTATGTTGCTGATATCTAGATCTAGAGCAGCCAATGCTGGCGAGGAGTACAACTTGGGTTGTACCAATACATATTTACCTAACGAAATGTAGGCTGTAGCGGGTAGACATATGGTGCAGTTGCCCTAAGATAGTCAGCCAAATGACCCCTCCTACCTTGACCCATGGAGCACGAAAAAATGACCCGATTCGAGAGTTTGATAGCGGGAAATGCTCAGGGGGATCTGATCTGAAATATCACCCGGACCAATTTTTGATATTGCACCATTTTCAAAACCTGATTCTGACTGATTTGGAAAATATTGGCCGTTTTCAGAAAACACCCTTCCAGTACGAAATTTGGACTTTTGAGGCCAGAAATTGCCATGCCCGGTCATTTATAAGTTCTGTCGAACTGTCAAAATATTGAAATTGACATTCCTTAAGGTCGAAAAGTATATTTAAGAGCAGTGTATGTGAACTGTGACACGCATTTTATTTAGTAACAGTAGAATTGATATTAGAGAAATTATGCTGCCAGAGAAGGCTAAGCATTTGAGTGGCGGGAGAGTGAAGAGGCACTCTTTGCGAAGTGCCGACACTAAACCCTAAATGTACCTGATGCTGAAGACGACACTTCGAGTAGCAGCGATATTGATGTTGAAGCCAAACAGCCTGTCGATGAGGATGATCCACGGCTGCCCAAGGGGATAAGTAAAATGGAGAGACTCCCTGATAAGTATGAAGGCACAGCTGAACGAACACCGCGGCGAAAAAGGGCGAAGGTAAAACAGATTCAAAAGCAGAACAAAGGAATTACGATGTTGAATTACTTTCATGATGTGCAGAAAAACGATGCCATTGCGATCGAGGCAGCTGAAGAAGGAGGTAGCAGAACTAGCTCGAATAAAGAACACGATGAAGAAGCAGCAGATGGAGACACACACTCTAGGTGATAAGTGTACATGCTTTATGTATAAATATAAATTTATAAAAAAACTTATATATATATATATATATATATCTATATCTATATCTATATTTATATATCTATTATATATATATATATATATATATATGTGTGTGTGTGTGTGTGTGTGTGTGTGTGTGTGTGTGTGTGTGTGTGTATTATATATATATAATATATATATATATATA